GAACTATATAATTAATTTTGACATGATATATTCATATATCAATCAGTAAATTTTGGATCGACTAATTGCTTTTTTTGTACGAGCAATCGTCGAAGTTTGGATTGACATAGATTCTTATCACTTGATACTAATCCGTTTAAAGTGATTTATATCCGATTTAAATGATTTTAATCCTTTTTGATACCGTATTTTCGGTGCAGAAATCCCGATCGATTCGGATAACTTTTTTTATAATCGGTTTTAATCGAACATTTTCGGCAGGATATGTAAATAATTTATAATTCATATATCATTAATATATTAAATTCGCCAATATATGGTTCGTACATGTATTTTTTTTATACATGAAAATTCAAATCAGTCTAAATTATACAAATAGAAAATAAAAAATAATATTAAATTAAACAAAAGAATTGAAAAATTTATATTATATATAAGATAATCATGCATAACCTATATATGAATTTTTCACATTTTTTATATAGATTTTCATATTCCATATATGAACTTTAATATAACGTACATGCAGTTATCCACATGGATTTTTATATGGATTTTAATAACATGGTTATCCGCATGGATTTCCCATATAGATTTTAATATGACATGCTTATCCATATGGATTTCCATATGGATTTTTAACATAACATGGTTATCCACATGGATTTCTATATGGATTACCATGGAAACCTACATGGATTTTTTCAACAGGGACACCAGGAGACATCTCAAGAAAGCGAAGAAGACGAGGATACGTATACTCATATCCCTGAGGCACGAAGAAAAACGAGACGGAGTGCGCATTTTGGAGGACGATTTCCATATGGTCGCTAATTTTTTCACTATTAAAGATGTAAAGGGAAGTATTTTGCACTTCTCTGTAGACGATAAGCTGCAAGTAGAAAAATGGATAGAAGAATTCGGAGACACGAATGCGTTACTAGAGAGGAACGGATTGCAAAAAATGATGTACGCGAAAAAGTTATTACGTGGTTCAGCAAAGTAATATATCGCGCTACAAAGGGGCATTACTTCGTGGAAAGTGATGAAACAACGGCTGGTGCGTGAATTCGAAGAAAAGTTAAACAGTGCCACAATTCATTCACAGTTAATAAAGCGTAAAAGATTATCGAAAGAGATACGCCACGACAGTATATATATGCCATGAGCACAATCGCTAGTCAAGGGACCATAGAAGAAGAGGCACTAATATAATACAATACATCATTAACGGAATATCGGACGAAGAAAGCAACAAGGCTATCCTCTACAATGCAAATACGATCACCGAATTAAAAAAGAAACTAAAGCAATACGACAGGATGAAGGAAAAGTCCGAGAAGAAGATGACGAAAGGTCACAAAAAAGACAAAATTCAAAGAGACAGACAAAAAAAAGAAAGGAACGAGACAGAAGAATAAAAAAGAGAGATGTTTCGGGTGCGGTTCGGTCGAGCACATTGCGCGAGAGTGTCCAGACAAAGAAAAGGTCCCGAAATGTTTCAAGTGCAACAAGTTCGGACACATCGCAACAAAGTGCTGCAACTGACAAGACGTCGGACAAGGATGACAATAAACTAAACGTAGTCACAATAGAACCAGTGGCAACAGATGACGAAATTATCGTACAAATAAAAAACACGCAAATACGATCGATGTTAGACACCGGAACACGACAAACATTACTGAGACAGAGTGAGCACGAGAAGATGGGCAGTCCACTGTTGCAGTCGAGTGCGAATACGTTCCAGGGTTTTGGCAACGTGTTAGTGAAGGCTACTGGAATGTTCCACACAAAAATAGTAATTTACGGTGAGACATATGTTACTGACGTGTACGTAGTACCCGACTTTGCCATGAGGCACGCTAAGCTGCTGGGTAAGGAGCTAACAAGAAGAATGCACGTCAACATTCAAGGCGGCCGAGTTACCATCAAGAAATTAGCAGTAGAAGAAAGCCAAACAGAAACCGCAAAAGAAAACACTAAAAAAGAAAACGGTCGCGAGAAAAAAATGACAGTGACGCGCTAAGTGAATTGTCATTCGTAAATTATGTCGAAACAAAATCAGTGGACATTACCGGTCAGTACCGCAAAGAAATTGAGAAACTTATCGAAAGACATAAGCCGCAAAAAGAAGTTCAGACAAATGTGAAAACAAAAATCGTGTTACGGGACGAATCACCTATCAGTCTGAGGCCTCGACGGTTGGCGATTAAAGAAAAGGCGATCCTAAATGTGCAGGTCGACGAATGACTACGCGACGGTATTATCCAGCCAAGCAAAAGTGATTATTCGAGTCCGGTCGTAATTGTACTGAAAAAGAATGACGAGTATCGCGTATGCATAGACTTTCGACAATTAAATAAGAAAATAGTCCGTGATTGATTTCCAATGCCGCTGATCGATGACTGTACGCGCTCGCGCAAGCCCGCGTATTTTCGGTGTTTGATTTAAAGAACGGATTTTTCCATGTACCCGTATCAGAAAAAAGTCACAAGTATACATCATTCGTGACTCCAACCGGTCAGTATGAGTTTTTGAAGGCGCCTTTCGGGCTATGTAACAGTCCAACATCGTTCTTACGATTTATAGACGAAGTTTTCCATGATCTCAGCCGAAGAAATATCGTATTTACGTATCTATATGATTTGATAATACCAGGTCGAAACAAAGAAGAAGCACTTGCAAATTTAAAAGAGACACTTGAAGTGGCCGCTGAAAAAAGTTTAGCAATCAATTGGAAGAAGAGCGAATTTTTGAAAGGACGCGTCGAATATCTGGACTACGAAGGGGACAACGTCAGTCCAGCCCCATCAAAGATTAAAGCTGTGAAGAACTTTCCCCCTCCAAAATCAAAAAAAGCGATCCAGAGTTTCCTCGACTTAGAGGGTTATTTCAGAAAATTTATTTATGACTACGCTAAGATCGCAGGACTATTGTCAGATGTGTTAAAAGACGACCAGAAATTCCGTTTTGAACCAAAAGAAGAACAAGCATTCGAGCGACTCAAACAGCTGTTAACATGCGAACCAATATTACAAATCTTTCGCCCTGATGCAACCACCGAGTTACACACCGACGCGAGTAAGGAAGGCTCTAGTGCTGCACAAAGATCACTTACACGTCGTTTATTACATGAGTAGGAAGACTTCAGACGCCGAGAAAAGACTACACTCATTCGAACTTGAAACGTTAGCAGTGATCCAAACAGTAAAGAAATTCCGTGTTTACTTGCTCGGAATCAAGTTTAAATTGGTAACCGACTGTTCGACATTACAAAAAACATTGAACAAGATTGATATTTCTCCCAAAATCGCGAGGTGGGCATTAATGCTTGAGGAGTTTGACTACAAAGTCGAACATCGCGCGGGAACACGTCTCTAACACGTCGACGCACTCAGCAGGTATCCTGTGATGGCGATTGATAAATTAATTCCGATAATAAGAAAACAACAAAATGAAAAAAAAAGGTTACGTGTGATTAAGCCGATTCTGCAGAAGGCGCCATACGAAGATTACGTCTGCGAAAACGAAATTTTAATAAAAACCAGCGAGAGAAAAGTTATCGTACTATCCACAAGCAGGACATAATACGCAAAGCCCACGAGACATTTTTTAGTATAGAGACATATTTTAGTATCAAGAAAATGCTGAAAAGTATAAAATCAGAGTATTACATTCCGAATCTGACGGAAAAGCTCGAGAAGTACGTGAGTTGTTGCGTACACTGTACACTAGCTGAAGCAAAAAATGAAAAGAAGGAAAGGATGCTTAAACCTATCCCGAAGGGGGACCGCTGTCAACCTATCATGTTGATCACTTTGAACCAGTGATGGCAATGTCGAAATTATATAAGTCTTAATAAGTCTTATAAGTCTAATTATATAATCTGTTCGTCGTTGTCGATGGATTTTCAAAATTCGTATGGATATACCCGTCAACCAACGCAAGAGAAGTATTGGACCGCCTGAAGAATCAACAAAAAACTTTTGGCAACCCACGACATATAATTAGTGACCGCGGCTCGGCGTTCACATCAACTGATTTCAGAGAGTACTGCTCCGAAGAAAATATAGAGCATGTCGCGATCACAACGGGAGTTCCAAGAGGAAACGGTCAAGTTGAACGTATCAATCCATATTTATGCGACCAGCGTTTCTAAAATAATTGCTGAAGTTAATTGATAACGATTGATACCATTTGAAGAAAAGTCAAGTACTCTTCCGGTAATGCGATGTTCCAATCAAGAAATGTCCTGGCGTTAGAACATCTAATTCATTTAGTATGTGGCTAAGAGGACACAACGGTCGCGAATTAACTCACTTCAACTTGAGTTAACACGGTATACAGTTCTTTGAACGAGAGCAATGTGTCATTAATCATAGCCTTTACATTTGCCTCCTACAATCCTTTCATGTGAGGGAAGTAAGATGGAATAAATTTTCACGAAATTCCTTGATTGGACGGAAAGTCAATAGTTTTTGCTTGATGTTCAAGATGTGACAAAAGTTCATCAATTTGACATAATACATTACTGGTTCCGAGAAAATTTTTACCGTTGTCGAACAAGATAGATTCACATTTTTTTCATCGAGAAATAAATTTTTTTAGTGCGTTTAGGAACATCTTAGTCGTGAGATCTAATACTAATTCAATATGTATAGCCTTTGTAGCTACACACATAAAAAGATATGTAAGCTTTACTCGATTTATTTCTCGAGACCTTGATGTTGAACGGTCCTGTATAATTAACTCCCGTATGATTAAAAGCTCTGGATGGATTTGAGTAACTCGAAATGCAGGTAATCTCCCATTTGTTGCACCGGGCTACGAGGTTGTAACCGAAAACATAAAACACATTTACGGAGTATTCGTTTAATCGTATTTTTCGCATGAACAATCCAGTAAGTTTCATGAAGTGTTGCTAACAGTAATTGCGAACCCATATGGAAATTATTTAAATGTTAGTCACGTATGATTAACTCTGTTAGTGTACCATCAAGGGATAAAAGGATCGGATGCTTTTGTGAATAGGGAATGAAGCATTTCTTAACCAACCACTGACGCAGAGTAATCTTTCTTTGTCGATTATAGGATTGAGTGACAGAATTTTACTGTGCGAATCTGTAACCTTGCCTCGCTGGAGATTTTACTTGCAAAAGCATTTTGTTGGTAATATTTTGTTGTAAGTCTCGCCTTGCCTTATTTACAACGCCACACTTAGCGATAAGCAGGTCACTGTTGCAATCTAATATTGCAACGATGACCCATAATAATTGAGGATGCCGACGCAGGACTTCGGCAGCCTTAATACGCGCGTCCTCCAAAAACTGC